TTAATTTACTTTGTTGTTTTAATATTCATTTTTTTTTAAGTTACTCTTTTATTTACTACAGATGAGAAAATAAATTCAAGAAAATAGAAATTTTAAAAATACATGCATGTATAACGCTTAGCAGAATTAAAAAGTAAAAACGAACGCTAATCCTAATCTGGAATAAGAATTATTACCGTTAGTTTTTACTTTTTAATTCTGAGAATTTCGAATGCATTTTATTTTTAAAATATCTTCGTAAATACAAATCATACGATGATAATTTTTTTTACGAAAAGCTGGCTTGGGCGATGATGAGTCTGTATATATATTACTTTGTCATAAATTACTGTAATTTTTTTAGTTTTAGCCGGACACACACACACACACACACACACACACACACACAGAGGCAACATACAGGTAACTGCCCCTTATATATGTATAGATAATGAAAGTGAAAAAATGCCATAGCTTTTTCAAATACAATTTTTCTTTTTGTTTATTTGACACCTATTTTCTTTAATAGTGTATAGAATGAGCAAAAACGTGTATATCACTATACAGTGTATAGTGCTATACATGGTTTTTGATCATTTCTGCTATTAAATTTATAGCGATAACCCTAGTTCAACATTAGCGGTAACAATAGCGGTAACCCTGGTTCAACGTTAGCGGTAACTATAACGGTAACCCTGGTTCAACGTTAGCGGTAACTATGGCGGTAACCCTGGTTCAACGTTAGCGATAACTATAGCGGCACCCCTGATTCAACGTTAGCGGCAAGTATAGCGGTAACGCTGATTTGTGATTTGTGACGATTCGTTTCTGCACGTCACTGCACAAACTGCGATGACATCCAAGGTAGGCTGTATGTGTATACACACGGTTCGTTATGTTCACAGGTGTGTCTCAATACTAGAGCAGTGACCGAATTCAACAAAGAATAACGACAAATTTTTTTCAAAACACTGCTTGCGTAGTAGCAAAACAGTACGATTTCTCACTTAATCGGCAATGTCTTCCTTTGGCTTCGAGAAAGCGAAGTCATGTTATCTTACTAACTTTCAGCACACTGCCTAACCGTCTCACTGACTGGCCGCTACACATACTGCCCGCACTCTCACTGACTGACGATATTCAGTCACCACCACCCCAACCCCACGAGGGCGTCATGTGGTACAAGGCCGGTTTAACGTGGGAACTCTGAGCCCGTGGGCTCGGCCAAAAATATGCCCATTGAACCCGTATAAACGGGTTCAGGGTCGGTTTACCTCCCCGAAAGAAAACCCGCCCTTCGGTGTAGCCTCCTTCGGGTTCCTCCTCGCCCGAAGGCAGGGAGTTCAACCGATCAGCCGGTCGAGACGCGAACGACTGACTGCTGGTCCTTTTACTGACCACGCAATATATAGATACTGGCTGGTGTCCCACCACCCCTATCTATCCACTTGTGTTCCACTTTTTGGAGGTCAGTTTTTTTTTAAAGGACACTACTTTTATGATTACCTAACAACATTTTATGTTTACCAATTCAAAGGCAAATTTCTAAAAAAATCCTGTGCATTAAATGATGATAAGACGGAGATTCCTGAGAATCCCTGGTAATTAAATTGACTTAAAGAAGGGCTAGAGACAAGATTCCTGCGAAACCCTGGTCATTAAATTAACTTAAAAGGAAAAGGAATCTATCACTTCATCTCCTAAGGGTTTGTGATAAATCGTATTTCTACAGATTCAACGTTAGCAGTAACTATAGCGGTAACCCTGGTTCAACGTTAGCGGTAATTATAGCGGTAAACCTGGTTCAACATTTTGCTGCACGAGAATGCCTAATAAGGATTTGAGGCAGAAATTAATTAAGATTAAACTATGAGAAAACTCACAGAACCTAATTAGACATCGGGGATAAAAAAAGAAAGAAAGAACGAATTAAAAATAATTCGAAGCCATAAAATGAGTTTGAAGAAGGTTTGGAAAGATTTCAAGCTGAAATAAAGCAAGTAGAATGCTCTACCTTTTCTTTCTTTTTTTTTTCTTTCTTTCTAGAAACACAGATATAAAGCTTCAACATACTCCAGAGTAAGGCTTTCCGAAAGTGGATAGAGATTTACTCTGTCTTCTGCTGCTATATAAAGAATTTGTAGTCAGGTAAACTGTTACAGGATATAATTCATGTGCAAAAGGAAAAAGTAAAATTATAATTTTTGCATGATAATTTAAATTATACATGTGATGATATAATTATTACGAGAAAGACCGGGGAAAATTTGACGATTTTCTTATTTTGTTTTTCTGGTGAATCTTCTTCATTTGTCGACCGCATACCTTTTGCGGATCTTGAAGGTCCTCTATAAATGGTTTCAGTGTGTATGACTTAACAGAGTCGCGCACAAAAACATGTTTACAAGCGTGCAAAAGCTTCGACATGTACGTGAACTTCAAACTCTGTATAGGTGGAATTGCATGATAAGTTCACAATTTTGGCAACCGGACAATCGATGAAGGAGCCTGGAAGATAAAAAAAAATCTAAGAAGTCAGAGCGGGATTCAATACAGCATTTTGGCAGACAAACATTGAATATCTTCCTTTACAGCGATATGAACCTCTGCTTTGTGGAACTGACGCCCAAGTGGATGCTTCTCCGATCACTACAATCTTAACCGGTTCATGTCTAGGATTAACCGTTATCTTCTCCAAATATCCCCATAAATTGTGCCCCTTACTTCGAGTGGCTCTTGGGGTAAATATTATTGTAAAAAAATACGAAGTCTCAGAAGAGGAAAAAGAAGTTGCGCCTGCAAATTAGATATGTTCAAAATTACTCTCAGAGCTGACTTCTAACTGCGATGAAACTTTCCCACTATACAATTTTCTTCAGAATGATAGTAGTGTAGATTCTCATACCACCGAAATGTTTCATTAACTGACAGAAGAAATCAGATACAAACTGCTAATCTCTGTCTTTAATAACGACAGTTTGGACTTACCAGACGGGCGAATAGATAACTACTTCTTTGGGTTTTTTTTAATCATTTTACTCCAAGCAAAGCGATAATGCCATTAGGATGCAAGAGGTTACTGGGAGAGAAAACTTTAGTGAGAAGGAAGAACAATAAAAGAACATGTTTCAGGAAAATATGACAAAAACTGGCGTTACATTTAAATTTTTTAAAGAACTTAGGTACCAGGGAAACAAGAAATCTGAAGAACTTTTCACAAGAAAGAATAGAACAGACGGTAGTAATTTCAACAGTAAAACGGTAATACCCAGTTGTCAATCTAGTAGCACGCTTAAATTCATTCAGTCTAGTCTTCCTTGCTCATAGTGAGTGAGCTGCTTGATTTTGCTAAGCGGCATGATACAATTGGGCACTCTTATTTTTCTGTTGGGTCCTACTAACATATTTTAATTTTACTTTGAGTGTTTTGTAATTTATTTTCGTTATTGGATTCATCCCCTCCCCGCTCATTTCATGTCATATTTTTATAAGAAAAAAGGGACAAAAAAAAAAGCAATTAGTAGCATCCGTGTGAATATGCGATAATATGGTATGTGTTGGATTGACGTGACGTCTCAGGTATTTCCTCCACCTGATGCGGCGCCTTACATTTTCCACATCTTACCAGACTGACATGTGAGGCAATTCTTACCTTCTTAATTGCCAGACAATTGCACTGTAATATTGAATTACTTGTTTACAAAATATAATTATGTAAGGAACAGAATAAATGGTAATCTGATGTTACAACATCTGTTGTATATAGCGGATGAATGAAAACATCCCAGCACAGATATAGCTATTCTTGCCTGGTCGCTAAATGTGGTCTAATGATAATGGAATATTATGCTCCCTTATATGTTTTTCAACAATCGCTCTCCTTTAATTGGGAACAGTAATTGCACAAATCAATCGTTTAGCTCTCTGGAAGAGGCTCAAATTAGAGATTTTCCAATCCCATCATATAAGCATCACCTTCTTTGAATGAATAGCAGTCTTTGACGTTCCACATTGTTGTAAAGTATCTCCTTTTCTTCGCACTTTGTTGTCGAACTAAAGCATTTAAATACATTACAACTGAAAGTTTTGGGCGGTTTTGTGTGTTTTTTATTTATTTTTATTTTATTTATTTATTTGTTTATATTTACTTTTATTTATTTATTGCTTGTTTTACATGCAATCCACACAAAAAAGTGATTAATATAACTAAGGTAGTTCAAATGATTTCCAATGCTTTATTTTCACTATGTTGGCTATCTTCTGCATTGGTGAGCTGAAAAATTCTCTGTCCAATCCTCTTCCCCAAAATCTGTTTGGTCATTAAAATACTGATTTGGGAAAATGAGTTCGACCGAAAACGTATATTAACACTTTATTTTTTATTTTTTTCTGCATTTTTTCTTTTATTATTTTTTTGTTTTTGTTCTTTTTTTTTATTTTGATTCCTTATGCAACTTTTGTTCTTATTCTGTTTTGATTTTTTTGTTTGTTTGTTTTCACTCATTCTTTTAGTTTTTTTTTTTTTCATTTATTTACATTTTATTTTATTTTATTATCTTTGTTTTCGTTTATTCTCCGTGTTTTTTAGTTTTTTCTAGAATATGAAACTGACATTCATATGCACATAAATAAAATCAACCTTGTTCACTTTTACAGAATTCCACAAATTTGCAAAAAATACAGTAGAGGAGTAAAACTAGTTCAAAATTGGAGAATAATGTGTTTTTGTCTATATTTCTGAGATGAGCTTTTGTAATTATTTACATTGCTCGGATTGTTGTCCTCATCTTTATTTTAATAATCACGACGTTTCGGAATGGCACGTGGAACTAGAACAATCTACGTCGGTGGACGAAATAAAATGTTCAGCTCGAAATTTCAATCACCTGAAGAAGGCCGGGGCATACAACGGTCGAAACGTCGTGAATATGGCAATAAAGATGAGGACAACAGTCCGAACTATGTAAATAATTTGTTTTTATTTAAACATACTTATGACTAATATTTCTTTGTCATTTCAGATCTGTGAAAAGAATGCTGACCCTGAAACAACATTACTAACATATTTAAGAGAAAAATGTATCCACGCTGGATTTGTATTTATTTCATTACGACAGTTTTGTGAGGTGGGGAGATGGGTTTTTATGATTATTATTTTAAGGTTTTCAGTAAAAAAAAAAAAAAAACAGTATTTGTTATTTATTTTCAGTGTTTCTTGGTTTGGCACGAGGCCAAAATATTTGAACACCAAACTCAAATATACTAACAATTTGTTTTTCGGTAATAGTTTCCCAACCTTCGTTTATTGTTTTTCGGGGTAACTCTAAAATTCTCTTAAACAGCTGTGTTGATGTTTAAAATACACGATAACAAAAAATTTAAGAAAAAAATCAAGGAATATGAAGTTTAAAATATGTATGAAAAATGATTTCAATCTTGTATATTGATTCTCGAAAATAGCCTTCAGTCAGTTGTTAACTGGGGCAAGAATTTGCTTGTAAATTTGAACGCCTACAAAACGAAACTGCTACCCTTTAATCCTCATAGAGGATCATTTTGCTCTTAAACAACATGGCTGATGTTAACCATCATGAGAGAAACTCATTGCACCAACTTACATATTATTTGTATTGAGATGAATTGAAGTGATTACATTGAATCAATTTACGGGTCTTCTGCTAAGAAGGTTTGTTCATTGCGTCTCACCAGACCATTTTTCTCACCAGAATCGATCTTGCAAATTTAAAAATCTACCATTCCACCGTGAATGGAATATTGCTGCCATAACTGGTCTGACGCTCCGGTTAAATAACTCGAGATTCTCGATAAAATCTAAAGAAGGATCTGTGACATTATCGGTCCTGACCTTGCATCTCGATTTCAATCACTTTCCCTCTGGCGTGAAGAGGCTTCCCTCTGTCTTTTCTATGACTATTTTTATGCTAGTTGTTATAATGAACTTTCCTCCTTGGTACATTGACCGCGTGAATTTAAGCATTACAACTAGATTGACAACAAGGTCCCATCGTTTTACTGCGAGATATAACAGTAAATTCTATGGTAATAGTTTCTTTTCTCAGTTCTCACCTTGGGAACTCTCTATCGGTTTCTTGAGTCGTTGCCACCTACAATCATCAAAAATATAAATGTAGCATCAATTGCCATCTTCTGTCCTCCTGAAACCTGTTCTTTTATTGTCCTTTCTCCTTACTAAAGTCTCCTCGTTCTCTTCAACGCCCAGTAGACTCCCTTGCATCTTAGTGGCATTCTCGTCTTGCTTGGGGTGAAATTATTTAAAAAAAAGGCTAACCTTCAAGACAAAATCAGATCCTTCTGTGTGACAAAAATCTTCTTTGTATGGCCAAGCAAGGTTAAAGACTCCTATCTATCCTGATATTTACTCATAGCTGGCGGTAAATAGTGAATTCGTATCTTTCTGATGGTTCTTGGAGCGAAATGAATGCAAGCAACCACGACTGAGATTCATATTCGGTTCCTTGATTCTGTCTTAGTAGCTATTATGCCACCTGGCACCTTCATTGTTATTGTACAATAGAAGAATAAACAAACATTCTGATAAAATAATTAACTGATTTCATGTTCTGTGTCCTTAATTCGAGTGTCCAGTACTCCTCAAAGGAACCAAATTAGGATGCGCAGAAGGAGGGTGTGGAGCATGCACAGTCATGGTTTCCCGTTACGACCGCCAAAGACGGAAAATCTTGTATCCTTTTTTTTAAATGGATAGAATAGATAAAAAGAATTTAATTTTTAAAATAACGCCATTTAATAAAACCGGACATTAGATGTTTCTGCCGGAAAGTTTCTGTAAGCCTAACACATGATAGAGAAATATTCAGGTCAACAGGATGAAAATATTCTGGAAAAAAATAGACTAAATTCTTGGTATTCGTATTTATATATATATATATGTGTGTGTGTGTGTGTGTGTGTGTGTGTGTGTGTGTGTGTGTGTGTTGACTGACTGAACTATTTAGCCTTTGCTGGCAACTATTCTAAGAGAAGGACAACTCTGAATTCAAAACGGGTTGGGCGTGGAATAGCAAGTGAAGCAGTAGCGACTCTGGCAGTCGGGTTTGTCGGGCTTAGCATGAGTGAGTCAATATTCAAGTATATCTATTTCAAAGCAACAAAAATCTTTCCTAGTGCGTTGTTTTCATTCTTGACTTCAGCTGGATCCAAAATTAATTGTTTTAATTCTGTGTCTCAAAATATTGACCAAAATACATTTCGTGATATTGTTCATAATAAAGAAGAAAAAAAAAAAAACAAAGAAAGTAAGTAAAAAAGAATGAAATAAAATTAACGTGGCTAGGTAGGACTGCGTAGATGTGAGCCTTTTCAAACTGGAGGTATACTTAATAGGCAATGTATTTCTTACTTTAATTTTATAAATAACACTGGTCAACAACAAAAAATTGAAATGATGTCGAGACACTAGACATCTTTTTTAGCTAATTTGAGAGCGTTGAATCTGAAAATGACCTCATTTTTTTCTTGGTTAGCTACGGTTTTTACTATACAGAAATACCTCATTTTTGGAAAAAAATCATTTTTTTCATTTGTTTTCTGTATATATGATATCGACCGATGGCAATATTTCTCAAAATAAAATCATAGAAACCTCTCAATTCGTATTTAAACCAACAAACATTGGACTGCTTATTGAGAAAGTCTATTTTCGCAATAACAATCAGACCTAAGTCTTTAAAATTAACTCGATTGAATATACCAAGAACAACAAGTATTTTCACCAAATCATTTAATAAACTAACAGCAGAAATAAAACTTTCGTGAACATATGGTAAAAATTTTCTCTTTCTTGATTGTCTGTCATGTTATTTAAATCCCTTTTGATACTCCAGCAGTATCATGCACGATTAAACTATGAAAACAAAATGCTCTCAATGTGCTTGGTTTCTTCCATAGTGAATAAAAGTGATGGGATAAATTTATGAATATCAAACAGATGATTTTAGGGTTTTATTTTTTTTATGTCACCTTAATAATCAGGTTTACTAAAGTGTATTACTGATAAAGTGTATTACTGGAAAAATTCGGTACTTCTATTTAAAAAATTTTAACTCAAAAACACATTTTTATCATAAAAATAGTTTATTTCAGGTGGCTGACATAAACTGCGCGGCCCACCTAAAAATTGATGGGTTTCTACGACCTTTATTAACACCAGACATCATTTTGCCATCAGCCATGATCGTAAATTGATCTTTTTTTCAGTACAGCAAAAATGATAGCTAACTATGAAAAACTAAGGTCATTTTCGGAATTACCACCATCAAATTAGCTAAAAAACGTGTTTTGTTTCCTGACATCAAAAATCGTGTTGACCAGTGTAATCTTTTACAAATCTCCAATGACTTGTATGCCTTGTTTTTCAACGAATACATTTTTACTGTTTTCAAATATCATTTTTAAATAAGTATAAGTTTTTTTATACAATGTGTCAATTGAAAAGGGTCAAATTAAATTTAGCCCGGCTTAAGGTCAAAGAAATTGGCAGCGTTAACTCGTCGACTGGAGGATTAGGGTGAGGAGTGTGATTAGGAGAGTGTTGAGGAAACATATCAGTCAGCAGTCGTGATCATAAACGTACAATAAATTAAACTAAAAATTCACAGACAGAGAGAGATACATAAACCCACTAACTAGACATATATACAAATACACACGTGAGATAGATACATACATTATTTTTCTTACATGTCTGGAAAAATTTTTAAATAAATGTTTATTTTGTAGAATTATTACAATTCATATTAAAATACCAAAATCTGTGTTTTTTAATTTCTTGAGATTTTTAAAATGTATATATTTTAGTCAGAGTAAAGGAATCATTTTAGCATCTAAATTATACCAATAGTATATTTTGTTAAAGATTGTAATGAGCCCAACATTGATGACTTAGAATCGCCACTGAAGTTAAATCAATAGGATTTGAGCGAGTGAGCATATATATATCTCCTAATTTTCTATACTTAAAAGCTCTACATGTTTGTTTGTTGTTGTTTTTTGTTTTTTTTTGTTTGTTTGTTTTTTTTTTTTTTTTTGTCTTTTTATGTGCATTGAGCACTTTTTTAATACTACTGCTTCTTGGTCTAATTCAACTCTCACTATTAACTTTATATATATATATATATATATATATATATATTATGACACCATGACTGGGTTATTCATAAACAAATAAAAATATTTTCATGTTAAAACAATGCGATATCTGGTGTGGGAGGTGAAATTATAAGCTTGGCTGGGATTGGTCATTAGTTACAGTCTTAGGACTGTGTAACTTAAGTTTTCATTTGATAAAGGAATTGTTTGTTGGGATAAAAGGCACAAAGCAAATCTTTCGTGTTGATCGGGGAAATAACACATTTTCAGATAGAATTGACGATGACACATGTGATAATCAGGTCAGATGAAGGCGAGATTCTGAAACATGAAAAATGTTCCACTGAGGGTGGGCGATACAAGGCCACCATTTTTGATTGGCCCGCCTATGAGAGAAGGGTTGGAATGGAACTTCTCGTCTCCCCTCCGATACTTACGACATAAGGCCTGTATTTTGATTAGACCACCACTCATATTGAGATTTTGGAGGCGTATGGCACAAGACCATTGGTCAAGTGTTAATATTGGCTGGTTAACCAGAGCAGGGCAATTGGGGTTTGTACCCCCATAAAAAGTAGTTGCCGAAAGAGCAGAGTAGTAAGATCGGAATGGTCTCGCCGCTCGTAGACCAACACTTTCCCTCTCGTATGACCGTGGTGTCTCAATCAGCTAGTGTCCTGTTCTCTGTGCCACTTTTTGAATTCTCTCGATCAACTGCCTTCATTTAAATAGTTGAATGACTCTGGGCTGTTTAGCCATAACTGCAACCACGAGTCCACCTCTTCCTCCCAGCTTATACGGAGAAACTTGTTCAACTCTCTTTTGTTTACGTATTTATGATTTTAATCATAGTACCATAAATAAAAGTTGCTATTTTTACACTTGTTAATGAGTGTTGTTGAAGTTCATTAAATTTCAAGTCTAACCAGAGCAGAGAGAAGTCAAGTTTGATCTTCAATAGTTCTTCAACCGATATTCCTGCGGATAGTGAAACACAACGGGGGGGAGGGGCATGATTAGTGCAGAACAAGGCAGATTAACAGACACAGACTAGAGTAAGAGTGTCATTCAGCGAAGCACGCGGAACCGGGGTTATTGTATATTTGGTCAGAAACCTTTCTTTTAAACATCTTTCGTTAAATGTGACAGACAAGTAAAATTTAATTAATTTTTAATTTAGTTTTTACAGCGTTCTTACATTATTTTTTTTATTTTTATTTTTATTTTTATTTTTTTTGGTTGGGACTAAGGGGGTACAAAACATTGCCCATTGTACCAAAAGATTTCGGCCATTTTCAAGGTGGTTTGTTTTAGGTGTTGTTAATTTCTCTTCATGTTTTGATTGTTTAAGATGTTTTTTTTTTTTGTTGTTGTTTTGAATACTAGTAGGAGCGTTTATTCCGAGCCTTCGACTGTTGATGGTGGCTGAAATCCGAGTGAGCGACTATCATCTAAAAAATCATCTAAAATGAATCCCCTTGAAAATGACTAAAGAAGTGGCCGAAAGCGCTTGGGACAAAGGATAATATGGAAAATTTTTGTACTCCCTTAGCTCCCCAGAACGTAATTTAAGAACGCTGGAAAAAATAAATAAAAAATGAATTAAATTTTCCTTGTTTGTCATATTTAACGAAAGACCAAATATACATTAATACACACACACACACACATACATATATATATATACTGACTCAAACCCTATAGACTTCACTTGCTATTCTCACACCAAACAGATTTTGACTTCTGAGTTGTCCTCTTAAACTTGTTGCCAGCCAAGCAGTCTGTCCTAATATATATATATATATATATATATATATAGAGAGAGAGAGAGAGAGGGGAGAGAGAGAGGGGGGAGAGAGAGAAACAATCAAGAAAAATCTTTTTACCTCATGTAGGTAATAGACTATATCGGCAGTCGATAAAAGTGATCTGTTGAAAATGCAGGAAGTAAATGTGGATCATTTTAATGTTCTTATATTACTAGGACCCACTATATATATATATATATATATAAATATATATATATATATATATATATATATATATATATATATATATATGACAGTTACACACCTGGCCCAGGGTCGAATCCCTTGGTTACGGCGCCAACTGTGACGTCGTTCCTCCTGGTCTCTCCTCCTGGTTCCAAGCGTGCCGCTCCAACCCCTTGGTTAGATGATCACCAGCCTCGCCTTTCCCAACTCGCCTCCAATACCTGGTTCCTGAAGCAACTGTACTGATCTCCGGTCTGTCTACCCACGCTGTGTTTAGATCTTAGACAGATGGGACCAGCAGGGATTGGGGCCGATACAAGTTGAGTCCGACGGGGGTGGCAAAACACAATTAAAAGAAAAAAAAAAAAAAAACTCACGAGACAAAAAGATTGCTGATAAAAAAAAAAGGTAACAACCTTTTATATCTAATGTCCGTTACATAAAAACAAAATTGTTCTCATTTCCCGACCCGCTCTGTGGACTATGGCACCAAGCTTCTATCACACAACCTAAAGATTTCGAGTTGCCTACTCTTTAGAATTGTGTATGTCGGAGTGTGGTTTAGTTCGACACTGGGGCT